AAGAGCGGGGAGCCAGCGGCCTGTCTGGAGGAGACTCCCCTCCCTCAAGGGTGTCCGGCCCCCTGCCCCGCACAGCCCCTCCCTGCCTGGGCCTGTGTCCCCCACAGCGGTCACCCGTCCACAGGAGTTTATGCCCAAGAAAAAGCACATCAGGTGACAGCCGGGCGGAGACAACCCGAGTGTCCATCAGCAGAGGGACAGAGAAACCAAATGTGCAATATCACCCCACCCGAAAAAGGAGTGAAGCCCCGACGCAGGCTACAGCGTGGACAACCCCCAAAACATCGCGCTCAGCGAAGGAAGGACGCCAGTGGCCACACAGTGTGTGATCCCATTCGTAGGAGATGCCACAAGTAGGCAAATCCTTAGACATGGCAGATTCGTGGTTGCAGGGGGCTGGGGGAAATCGGGAAGCAGGGCTCTTCTGGGTGCTGGAAACGTTCTGGAATCGGCAGTAACGGTGCACAACCTTATGAAAACACTAAAACTCCCGGAATTAATTGAACGCTTTAGTTTTTTAAATTGTGATAAAATATAGTAACATAACACTTGCCAAAGGCAGGACTTTCTACGGATTTGCACGTCATCCTTGCACGGAGGCCTTGGTAGGCTCTGTATTTCTCCAGTTTTGTTACACGTGCTGCCACCGCCGAAGCGAGCAGTGACCGGTACACACTAGCACGCTCGCTCACACGCCCACATGCTCACACACGCAGCGGAGTGCAGCCGTGCCAGGGGTCCCTCCTGGCCACTGACAGCCCCCAGGCGGCGGCCCTGCCCCTGGAGGCCGAGATCCAGGACGGGGCAGGGGCCGGGAGCCACCCCTTGCCAGGCTGGTCAGCCATCTGCTTCTGCCCGGTGCCCTCCGCAGGCCTCCCAGCAGGCGCGGCCAGGCTTCACCTTTCACCAGCGCCTTGAGGATGGACAAAGGCCTCGAGGTGGTGCCTCGGGCCAGGCACGTGGTATACGACCCCACATTCCCCCCCCCCCCCCCCCCCTGCCACTTTCCCCCTTTGGTATCTATATGTTTGTTCTCTACATGTGTCTCTATTTCTGCCCTGCAAACTGGTTCATCTGTACCATTCGTGAGGATGCCAGCCCTCTGCCCGCTGGGCCCAGGGCAGCCCCACCCACAGACCGAGGCTCCACCCCCAGGCGTGAGGGCCTGAAGCAGGGGTGAGCACGGGAAGGTGGGGTAGCTTTGCAGCCAGAGGGGCCGAGCATGGGCACTGCAGGGGGCGGGGTCCAGGGTAGGGACCAGCGCTTGGCCCTCCTGACTGCGGTCTCAGGCGGTGCATACCAGTTCTGTCCAGTGCACGATGTCCTCCCAGGAGAAGTTCTCACTGGGGAACTTCTCTCTAACCTGCTTCTCGGCCACCTGGGGCACCAGGAGGTGGGGCTGGTTCATCAGGGCAGCGAGCACATCGGCGATGCCCCCCGAGCCCGCCAGGATCAGCCAGGGGCCGGCGTGCTCCACGGCCCTGGAAATCCTGTGAGGCGGGCAGGGAGGGCCAGCAGGCCGAGTCAGCTCCAGGTCCATCCCTGCCCTGGCGGGGGGCCCTGAAGGAGGCCCCCACCTGCCGCCGCTGCCTACCTCCAGGGTGCTGGGGTCACCGTTGACCAGCAGACAGAGGACGGGGATCTCGATGCTGCTGGAGCAGACGCAGCACAAGGTCCACCCAGGTGCCCAGGCAAGCGGAGGGCCTGGGAACCTCCCCATGGGGTGACCACCACGGCCTCAGACCATCAACTTGCCACGTTTTCTGGGCAAACTCCAGCCAAGAGGCTTTCTCTGGAGAAGTGCGGGCTCCAAGCTGCCCCGTCCCCCGGGGAAGGGATGCCAGTTCCGCACCTCACTATGCGATGTGGCCGCTTCGTGGCTATTTAAACCGCAAGTTGAATATTCAGTCCCGGGCTGCACCAGCCACATTCCAAGGGCCTGGCATCTCCCTGCATCAGGGCAGAAAGCCCTGTTGACCACCTGCCAGGTCATCCAAGGCCCACGGAGCACGTCGAAGAGGTAAAGGAGGGGCGCTGGTCAGTTTTTTCCCCAAAGAAACCAGAAATGAGACTTTTGAAGGCGAAACCTCAGAGAAGCCTGGACCTGCTGGGTAGGCTGTGTGGGAGGAGCCCGGCAAACTGCTGGGAGGACTCCAGGCAGACGGGATCGTCCCCCCAGCCCCACCCCCATCAGGGTCCCCTCTAACTCCTAAGGCGCCTCCTGAATGAATGTGGGGGATACTTGGGTTGCGTGGGCCGCCAGGCATCAGGAACACAGGGCTCAGGGCTGCACCCACGTGGTGATGGTTTAAACACAGCTTCAGTTGTGTTTTCATTAAAGAGTGCTCAGTTGGCAGATGTTTCACATTGCTTATAAATATTGTAAGCAATTATACATATCTTGTTTATAAATATTAGTCCTGCGCTAGCGTTAGCAAATCCAGCTTTCGAACCCGCCACTGGCCGCAGCGGTGCCCAGGCCTCGGACAACACTGCCCCCTGGTGGCACCTTACCTCGGGCCAGTGGAGGGAAACAGGCTTCTTGAAACTTGGAAATCTCTTTTTCTTTCCAAAGCTCGGAGCCCACAACCAGAGCCTCTAGCCAGGGGACCCGCACTGGAAATCGACCTACAGCCACTCTGCCGACTGGTGGGAATGTCGCTGCCTGGCAGGGCTACTCCCCACAGCTGTGTCCCCTGCCGCCGTGGCTGGCGGCCCCCCGCTCCCAGGTCTTCCCAGCGGCCTGAGTCTCAACACTCTGGCATGCTTTGTGCCTTCAGTGGGGAATGCCCTTCCCTGCCCGCCCTGGTGGTCCTTCCAGCCCCGTCCACGCGCTGTGACCGCCCCCATCCCGTGTTCCCTGGCAGCCTCCCTGGGCAGCCAGGCAGACCTCACCCCCGTAGCCGGTCCTTTGCTCCGAGATGTGCTTCTCTGGCCGCAGCTCTGCGGGCTCGCTGACCTTCCCAGGGGTGCCCGGGTCCACCGGGATGACGTGGGAGTGGTTGTTTTCCGGGGGCAGAGGGGTCCCTGGTTGCTACCATCGTCCGTGGGGTAGTGGACGGGACTGTCCTCCTGGGTCCCCCATGCACATCATGAGGCCTGGGCAAGGCTTCTGTCCAGGGCCCCCGCCCTCCAGACGGAGGGAGGGCTGGCTGCTGTTTCGGGGGGCCCAGAGGCAGGCACAGGGAGGGGACCCTCTAGACAGAGCCCAGCGCTGGGGGGAGCTTCTCTCACAGGGCTGCCTGGGCCTCCTTTGGACCTGCCTCAGACCCCTCGCCCAGGGTGGGAGCAGAGGCCACTTGCCCAGGGTCACCCAAACTTGCGGGGCGGTGGCCAAGCCAGGCATTTGGGCACCGAATTGGGCGGGATCCTTGGAGCCCAGGTCCCCATGCCAGGTCTGGGCAGGCTGGGAGCCTGGAAGCCCCCTCCCCATGCCGTTCCCTGGGCGATGCTGCCACCTGCTGGCCACTTGCTGGGCACGCGGCTCCCAGCTCCCCCTCTGGCTCCTCCCCTTCATCCCCCTCCCCCTTCCTGCCCTCCCCCTCCCCTGGCTCTGAGTCATTTCACTGCCTCAGTCCTTCAGAGCAGCCTCGCTCCCCCCACCACGCCCAGGCCCGTGAGCCCCCCGAGGTCAGGGGCTGGTCTGTCCACTGCTGGCCTGTCCACTGTGGGGAGACTCGGTCACAGGTGGAGGGCTGTGGTCAGCTGTGAGGCTGCCTTGGTGGCCTCCATAAGGCATGCCCTCCTGCCCTGGGGGGTGGCCGATATTCGGGGGCCTCCCAGGCCCACCGTGTCCCAAGGCCACAGTGCCCCGAGCCCGACACTCACCTGGGCGTCGTCCAGAAGCTGACGGTGCAGCACGCGGCCCAATGAGGCCATGCCGATGGCCACCACGTGGGCCTTGGTGGACGTGCTGGCCAGTGAGTGGTCACGCACAGCCTGTCCGGGCAAGGCCCACACGGAGTGCACTGGTCAGGATCCAGGCACCTGCAGGCCCGGGAGTTGCTGCGCCCAGCAGCCCCAGGGCCTCCCGAGTGGCCCCCACCCCAGGGCCCCCTCCTGCCTTTGGGGCATCTGCTGGGAGCTGGCCCCGCCAGACGCCATCTGGACAGAACAGGCCACGACTCTGTCCCGTGGCCTGTGCTGGGCCAGAACACAGGAAGGTCTTTCCAGATTACAAAGCCCTCAACCCAGTGGGTGCACAGACCGGGCTTTTTGTCTTTTCTACAATCAATCATTTCTGGGGTGAAGGAGACCAGAGACCCCACGTCCTTGACTGGGTTTTCTGAAGGCCCAGCCGGCCTGAAAATAAAGCTCAGAAGTTTGATTCTGACCCCAGCAACTGGCCAGATTCCTCGGGCCAGATTCCTCCCCAGAGGGAAGCAGAGGGGGTGAAGGGGGCCCACACACGGGCAGCGGGGTGTGGAAGCTGGCGCTGCCCCCGGGTGTCTCGCTGAGGCCTGTGGGCCCCACGGGGTGGCCGGACCCTCCTGGGGAAGAGGCTCCTCTGCTGCGACCCCGGGGCTGCTCCCGCTGCCACTGTGGCACTGTCGGGGACGGGTGACCGTGGGGTTAGTGGGCTGCGGGGCCGAGGCCCTGGTCCGGGGCCTCACGTGTGCTCTAAGCCGCCTTCACCAGCCCCTTGCGCAGAACGTCCCTCAGCCACGGCTTCGGGGTGAAGGGCCGCTCCTCACCCACCAGCGACATGAGTGTGTTGGGCATGGGGGTATTCTGAGTATGGGGGTGCTGGGCATGGGAGTACTGAGCATGAGGATGCTGGGCATAGGGGTGATGGGTATGGGGGTGCTGGGCACGGGGGTACTGAGTATGGGGGTGTTGAGTATGGGGCTGCTGGGTAAGGGGGCCCTGGGCACAGGGGAGGGCTGGGCTCCACGGGGTGGGGGGGCAGGGTCGCAGCCAGAGGCCAGGGCTCCCGCAGGCCGCATCTTGACCTGCTGTGTGACCTGGGCGTCCCCATCCCCTCGGGAGAGGCTGAGGCCGGAGAGAGGAGGGTTCTGGACACGCCGTGCCTGGGGTTAGGAGGCATGGGCCAGAGGGCGCTGCCAGCTCCACAGCTGTCTCCGCCTGGGGCTCTGAACAGCCCCCGTGCACCCGCCACCTCCGCCGTGGGAGAGTGGGCGCCGGGGCTCAGTGTTGCGGGGAGGACGTGGGGTGCGGGGAGGACGTGGGGTGCGGGCAGCCTCTCACCTGGCCTCACTTCTTCCCAGACCCTCCGAATCCGATCTCAGCCCGGCACAGGCCCGGCCCCTGTTGGTCGCCAGCACCCCTGTGGCTGCCAGGACGGGAGCCCCCGGCACCCTGCATGGGGCCCTCTCTGCAGGGACAGAGCCCTCTCCTGAGGGCGCCAGAGGCAAGGGCTGCCCCCCTTCCTGCCAGAGGCCGGGGCCGCCTTCACCAGGGAAGCCCCTCTCCCCAGACGCCGCTCTGGCAGCAGTGGGGGCCACCAAGAGGGTGTCTGCCGCGGCGCCCTTCCCGCCGGCCGCCCCTCCTGAAGCACCCCCCCCTTTCCCCAGCCCCGCCTCCTGGCCCAACGCCCACCCCCCACTATGCTCCCACTCGCCCCCCACCCCGGGAGCAGCCGCCGGCCACGCCCGTCGCCACCTCTGCAGAGGCTTTGGCAGGGGGGTTCCTGGAAACCCCAAAAGGCTCAGTGGAAGTCTCGCAGCCCACCCGCCCCACACCCCTGTCAGCCCGGGACACGGATGGGACCCTGGGTGTGCCTGGCGCACAGGCAGAAAGCAGGTGGAAGGCGAGCAAGTGAGGCCTGTGTACACAGCTCAGGTGCAGGGGGACCTGGGGGGCTGGGCGGGAGCCAGGTGGGCCCAGGAGGCCCGGGGAGGGAAGGCTCTAGCCGCCCCCCGCCCCTCCCACCACCCAGGGACCTTCCCACCGAGCCCTCACCCCTGGCCCAGCGCTGCCCACGTGCCTGGCGGGGTTGGCACATTAACAGAGACTCGGGAGCCACGCCAGGGTCCCAGGAGAGGCCCGAGTGACAAGGACCTGGGTCCCATCAACCTGCCTGACAGCAAGCACCCCCAGTGCCTCCCGGACCCACTGCCGACGGCTGCCAGCCAGGGCCCAGCCCGGCCCCCCTCCACCTGCCCACGGCTCCCCACGGCCCCCACTGCCTGTCTCCAGTGGCTCCTCTGCGGGGCTCAGCGGGGAGAGCACGCCCGCCCTGCCCCGCCCTTCCAGAGCCTGGGGTCAGAACACAGAAGGGTCAAAGGTCTTCTCAGAGCCGGTGGGACCCCAGGTCCCAGGGGACCTGAGAGGCCCACCCCGTGAAGCTCCGTCTCCCTGGTCGCCCCGTCCATCACGGGCGTCGGCCGCGCCCCGTTCCGCTGGGGTATTCTCCCAGCTTCTCCAGGGTCAGCCCCACGCCCCGGACGGATGGGGCCGTTTGGGAGAGATGAGTCTCTCGGTAAAACGCTTTCCTATGGCGGCTCCGGTTCTCAAGGCCGGGCCAGCCCTTTGTTTCCTGGAGAGGGGCCACCTGGGTACACAGGAGGGGCCGGTGGGGGGGCACATGCAAGCGTGACATGGTCCTCCCACTGTGTCCCCCAAAATCATGTGTCCAAGCCCTAGTTCCTGGTGCCTGTGAATATGCGCCTTTTGTAGAAACGAGCTCTTTGCGGATGTGATCAGTTTAAGAGGATGCCGTTAGGATGGGCCCTCGTCCAGTGGCCCGAGCGTCCTTATAAGAAGTGGGAAGAAGATGGAGACAGAGAGTGGGGGGTGCGGCCACAGCCCAGGGATGCCTGGACACCCAGAAGCTGGAAGAGGCAGGCAGGACCCTCCGTTGGAGCCGCTGGAGGGGGCTCGGTGGTGCAGCACCTTGATTTGGGATTCTGGCCTCCAGAGCAGGGAATCAGTTCCCGTTGCTCTCGGCCGCCCATCTGTGGGACTTCGTCACAGCTGCCCAGGGCGCTCTTGTCCCCTCCCCGCTGCCCACACCCAGGCCCTGTCCCCAGACACTTGTCCCCTCCCCCCTGCCCACACCCAGGCCCTGTCCCCAGACACTAGCCTCCAGTATTAAACACCCATAATCGCCAGCTTGGAAAGGCCATATTCAAATCCCACCCCTCTGCTGCTCCCTGCTCTGGGGTGGGAAGCAGGAGGGTTTGCATCCGCCCCGCCCCCCAGGGCTGGGCCTGATGCTGTTGGTACCAAGAGCCTCTGAGGCCCGGCCCTGCCAAGACACGGAGGGGAGTGGGGAGACCTGCACGCGACCACACAGCCGGGGGGAGGCTAGACCTGGCCTGGGCTTGGGCACTGGCCAACGCTCACCCCCTCGGCGCTGCCGCCTTCTGGGTTATAACCGCAGGGGTGTCCCAGGGCGGCTGTAACGAGCGACCACCAACCGGGCATCTTGAAACAACAGGCGTCGATTCTCTCGTGGTTCTGGAGGCCAGAAATCCCAAAACAAGGTGTCGCAGGGCCGAGCTCCCTCCGGAGGCTCTAGGGGAGGGTCCTTTCTGCCTCTGGCAGCTCTGGGGGCTCCAGGCGTCCCTGGGCTTGTGGCCGCATCCCTCCAGCCTCTGCCTCCGTCTCCAAGTCCCTGTCCAAGCCTCCCTCTCCTTATAAGCACACCGGTCATTGCATGAGGGCCTCCGTACTCCGCTATGAGCTCGTCGTAACTAACTGCTTCGGCAAAGACCCTCTTTCCAAATAAGGTCACGTTCTGAGGTTCTGGGTGGATATGAATTTGGGGGCACATTCTTCAACCCCAAAGCACAGGCAGCGACGTGGGATGTGTTCGCATCATGCCGGGAGGGAGGTGCTGAGCAGGGGCCCGGGGCCTGGCACCCCTCCCACCGCTGGACGCACCCCCGGCCCGGGGTGTGTGCGGGGACTGGGCAGCACTGCCGTGCTCATGGGCCGAGAGCCTCGGGTTTGCTCCACCAGGGAGGGGGACCTGGAGGGGGCGGCGGGGGGGAGGGTGCTGTGGGGCTCCCCGCCCCCTAGCCCACGTCGCCCTTTCCTCACTGACAAGGCAGGGGTCCTCACCATCCCCGGGGCCACGACCTGTACCCCTCACCCCACGCCGTGAAGGCCTGGGCCCGATCCCTGGCTTCCCAGCCATGGGAGGCCAAGGGGGCATTGGGGTCCTGTGCTGAGAGCTGGGGGGGCACTGGGCCAGACGCCAGGCAAATGGGGCCACCAAGCGGGAAGGACATTCAAAGGGCGCATTTGCATGAACAGCCGACCAGGTCTTTGATGGCCCTGTTCTCAGAAGCGGTGGGGGGTGGGGGGTGAGGGGTGGGTCTGGGCAGCTGGGGGTCCTGCGTCATCCCCCGCTGGAATCCCCCCCACCACGGCCGACAGGGACAACAGAGGCAGGATCTTCAGCCCCAGCAGCAAGGGCACTGGGGGCTCTCGCTCGGGGGGCAGATGGCCGCCCCTGGTCAGAGGCCACCAGGGAAACGGCCCCAGCACAGGCGTCCCCGTCCACGCGGCCCTTCCCGGCTGTGCCACTGGGCAAAGCCCCTCACCCGCTCAGCCCTCTGCCCCTCCCTGAGATGGGAGGAGAGAGCACACAGGGGTCCCACGCTCAGCAGGGCGGCGGTCAGCACGGCAGCCCCCGGCCCTAGTGAGGACACGGGTCTCCCGGGCCAGGAGCGGAGGGCACGGCTCGGGGAGGGAGCAGAGAGGGGGCACAGCTGCCCACGAGCTTGTGAGCCCCCCAGCGGGACAGGCACCGGCTCTGAGCCCTGGCTCCCTGAGTCTGGCCCCCAGGGCCGCGGGGCCACCCCCCTGCCCAGACCCAGCCCGAGCCCCCCTCGCCTACAGAGGGACCGTCTGTAGATGATGGAGATGGAGACGAGAGGCAGCCTGTGGCCAGGGAGGAGGGTGCCCCCACTCACGCTCCCTCCTGGGGGCTGGCGGCCAGGGCGCCTACCTGCTTGCTTTCTCCCCGGGCCCGGACACGCGGCTGCTGGTCAAGGAGCGGGTGGAGGTGCCCACAGCCTGGCGCCTGCCCTTCCTACCCCCCTCCACCACACCCAGCACCTGGGCAGCCAATGCTGTGCGTGACCAGCGCTGGGCGCCCCCGATCTCCACCCCACCCGGCCCACAGGCCTGCTGCGGCCGAAGTCACTGGGCGCGAGGGCCAGCCTGATGGGCCCTGTGACCCCCCTGGGCGTGACCAGTCTTGGAGAGGTCTCACCTCTCCAAGAGGTGGCCCCGTGTGGGGCTGGCTGCTGTCCCTCCCTCCCTCCTCGGCCTGTGGGGGGGGGAGGGGATGGCTGTGCCACACCCGTGTCTCTGCCTCCCAAAGGCCCCCAGTTTATCTCTGCAGCAGGTGGGAATGGCTGCCTCCAGGGGGCATGGCCAGCCATCCCGTGGAGGACACGTGGGCAGAGACTGGGCCCACAAAGCCGAGAGGTGCGGGTGCCCCATGTGCGCTGTCCTGGAGGGTGGCACGGCTGGGCCAGCTGTCCGGTTGTCAGCATGGCAGGCTCTGCACAGACACTGTCCCTTCGAGCAAGGGCAGGACAGGGTAGCACAGGGGTGGCCCTGGACCCCCACAGTCCTGGCTCACACCCTGCCAATCCTTCGGGCTCCTTAACTCTGGGCCTCAGTTTCTCTGAGAAAATGGGGATCTGAGTAGCCCGGCTTCAGGGAGCTGGCGGGTAACACGTGAGAACAGACGACACTTCTGTGTGGCCCTTCCCCAGAGACCCCAGGACCCCCTCCCAGGG